ATGGCAGAGAGCAAAATGGGCGAGACTCACCTGTTTATGTACCCATATTATCCCTTTCAACTACCCGATATCGGGATTCTCCTCGGAATATGCAACGTATGCAACATCGTAATGGCGCCATCAGGGACCCGAGCCCATGCGAATAACAACTTGAATTTTTGTTTCCTGCTGAGCTCAGATGTGTAAAAAGGACCTGCAGGGATCTTTTTCATTGGCCATATCCTCAGAGCTTAACTTCCGGTAATGTCAACTCCAATAAAGTTTCAGCTACCCTCGCTGCCCAATGGGGCAACCAATTCAAATTTATTTTTGACTCGAAACAGATATACGGCCTAAGTACCCTTGGGCAAGGGCATACTAATTTTGCTCCATCTACTATCTATCTAGCAATTTCTTGTCTTCGAATCCTCTCCTCTACCGCGTTCATGATTTGTTTACTAGTACTAGAACTACAGTATCTATGAGTGCACTAGCTGTCCCGCCTCATTCGTTGCTTGCGCTCTTTGATATAAAACTTCCGGTTACACGATCATGACTCGGTTCTACTCTCAGAGAAGTCCGGCTGTTTTCAGCTTCTTCAGCTTCTTCAGCTTCTTCAGCAGTGGAACGTATTTTCTTTGATCTCGAGCCTGCCGAGGGCCGGGGAGGGTGAAGGATATATGACCTTTATCCATGCTGATCATACACTTTGCGCAGTCGTGACCCACGCACAAAAGGAGAAGAAGAATGAACAAGGGGTTTCTGCAAACCACCCGCACTCCGGTTGTATCGTGTTATGGTTGGCAAACGTGCAAGTAGCGGAAAACATATTAATTGTGCAGAGACCGAAGGACTTCTGGCAAGACGGGCGACTGACAAATGCGGACAGGGGTATCTGAACTAGGAACCCCTGGTGGCACATTATTTCCCATCATACCAACCAGTATGTCTTGGAGTTAACAAGCTCGACAACAGTAACTATTGGTTCATCGGAGGAAGTTTAACGACGATGTGCAGTACCCAGACGAGGCAGATATATAGCCGCTCTTGGAATAAAAATACAATTTGTTCAACGATGCCCACATTCTTGTCAATATAACGTGGATACCTTTCTGCGCTTGGCCCTAAAATCCACTTGCCGATGAAGACATTCCCCGATGCCAAGACAAGTTAAGCTCCCCATCACGACAAGGATTGAGTACGGAAACTGTGGCTACTAAACGACCATAAATCGAACGGGGTTGAGGATGATGGAATTCCATCCCCCCCTTATACAAAAATTGCAGTTACGGTCGCATGTAGGATGTAACCCAAGGGAAACCGCTTGTTTTGTGAAGATTAGAGCGAAATCTTCAAATAGCCCCAACATGTATGAATAGTTACGTGGAACAGTTGTAAGCATTATAAATTTGATTGTTTCCAACAAGCTACCTTCCTGATGTGCTGACGTCTTGGGGATAAGTTAGGTTTGAGAGGACGACATAAAGAAAAGTATGGTGGTGGTGACAGGAAATCCAGAGGTGTTTTTGAAGCGCAGAAGACAGAGCGACAAGAAATCAAGTGCGAATTGTAGTGTTTGTACTGATTACTTGTACCCTTGTCAATGCACAACAGGCCACTGGAAGATGAATAAAAAACTATTTGGATCTCACATGTCTAAGCAAAAGCACTGCGAACAAGGGGGTCTGTGGAAAGAGGTTTTGAAATTATTTCCGCATCAGGGTGATGTTGGACGAATGGTATCCTTGATTTGATTATTGATGACCATGAAAATGCTGACTTTTCTGCAGATGAAAACGCCTGTATGGAACAGAACAAACGGAAATAAGTTGTGAAAGGAAATAGCGCACTTTGGAGCACTTTGGAAGTGCGGGTATGTAAAATGTGAATACTGGAGGTCGCGAGATTCATTCCAGGAGGGAGAAATATATACAAAAAGAAAAAAAAAAAAAAAAAAAAAGAGAAGAAAGACAATAGTGGTGAATAATCAGTTATTCTTTGCGTGGCTGCGGAGGGGACATAGGTGAGTCAAGTTCAAATACCGGAGTAGGGCGTCCTTCGCTTTGCGACTCAAGTTCATACCGGGATGGTACTTCTGTTTGGGCTGACAGTTCTCTGGGGCGTTGTTCGACGCGCATGTATGGGCTATCCTTCTTGTCAGTAAGGACTGGCTGGGACGAGTCTGGCTCGGGATAGTAAACCGAAGGAGCTGTCGGAACAGCTGGGGAGGCATTAAATCGATCGCCCGTATTTTTCTTCCGTTTGCTTCTTCTTAGAAAGAAAACAGCCGCGGCGATGACGGCGACTCCTCCAACGCCACCAACAACTCCACCGGCAATTGCACCTGCATTAGAGGACTTCTTGGATGAAGGGGGAGTTGTCGGTTGAGAAGTTCCGGTTGGTTCTGCCGGGAGCGGCTTCTCTGTTATCTCAGGTTTCCTGGATACAGTTTGAGAAAATATATGTTCAAGCTGACTATTAGGCCATCCTCCCTCCGGTTCCTTCAATGTAGCTTTACCAGTTCCACTGTGTTCGGTAAAGTGGTTAGTCTGGAGAAGAAGGATGAGGTATACAAATCAGGAAGAAAGAACCAACGTACTCGCCGCCAACCACATCAGAGACCACCCGAGGAACAGAGTATGTTGTTTCGCGTTCGAATTGCTTTTCCCATCGAAATTTACTGGTATCAAGCACTCGGATTGGTGGATAATTTCTACTGCATCCCTTTTGTACTTTGTCATCTTTCCGAGTGGTACCCCCAATTACTACCATCTCTCCGTCTTTCCAGGTGACACATTTATGGCTGTCGCGACCAACGCCATCTGCTTTCCATGGTTCTAGGCCAGTCGTCGGGGCACGTATCCAACGAAAAGATGGGAGAGTCAGGACATAAAGATCATTATATGAGGTTGCATTCTCTATGGTACGGCTGCGACCGCCGTACATGTGCACTTGAAACGAAGAATCGTCTGGCGCGGAAGAAACAGCGGTGCAAAATGCAGTTCTCGGCTTCGGGATATCACCAGTAGCTTCAATTTCGTACCTGTTCAACTAGTCAGCTTCGGTATTCCGGTTTGGAATATAGAGACTTTTTAACTAAAGAAAGTCGTACCAGGTACTCGAGTCAATGTCATAAACACCGATTTTATCCATTGCCCTCAAATCTTGGCTCGTTGCGGTTGTATTTGTTCCTTTTTTTGATGTCTTTCAAATGCGTTAGCCTTGGCAAATAACAGAATCCGTGTTGCGACAGCCAAAATCGCACATACATCATAACCACCAAAAGCAACCAGTATTCCATTCTTCCCTAGCCGTACATATTCCATCCCACCATTAGCGATCCGGGGTTCTCCGACCGCGTCATTTCCTTCCACTTTAGTCACGTTTGTCCATTGAAGGTTCGCGCTATCCGTCGCGTTGAAGACCAAAGTTCCCGTGATGGGCATGTCCCAGCCTCCGGTAAAGAAAGAAAGATTGGATTCTGGCGCAATGGCGGAGAGCCCGGCAAACCGCTTCCCCAGATTTAGCTTGCCGCCGGCGACTGTTGCGCGACTCCATGTCCCATCTTCTGCGTTGTATGACCACATCCAATCATACCTATTCGAACTCCCGAGGCCAGCATATATGTATATGGAATTTTGAGCGGCCAAAAATGCTCCCCCGGAAAATTCATGGGGCGCCGAACTTGGAATATCTGTGTTATGCAAAGTATTTGGGGAGATACCGCCTTCAACGTTAAAGGTGGTATTGAGATCGAGCCAATAGAGTTGGTTCACTTCAATATTATCAATTAGTACTAAATGTATTTGTAGACGAGGGTTCAAAATACCAAAAGCTTCATTGTGTCCGTCTTGGATCGTCACTTTCCCTGCCATCAAAAACACTAAGTTACCAAGCAGGACAGCTTTTTCACCAGTTAGCATCACTACCAGATACATGTACAAACATTGAGTCCAGTGAGGGTGAAAGTCCGGCTTACTTCTGCCTTCCGTAAAACCACAGAGGTCGCCAGGCGATCGCGGCGCAAGAGCTGCCTCTCCAAGGCGTCCTGCAAGGAGCAAAAAAAGGGCAAGACATGATCTAATTGAGCATCGCATTCTTCAACAAGAATTCCTCAACAGAAATTCAAGAAGAGTTGTGCGGATTGGGATCTACTATGGGAACTCAAAAAGCTAATCATCCACCCCATAGAAGAAATGAGACAAGGAGAAATCGAGAGTTGAGAAAGGAATAGATGCCGGTGGAGGAGCGGAGGAAACCCATGCTGTTGCCAAGGTTCGGCGGATGTTTTCATAATCCTTCCCATGCATGAACTCGTATTCCGCCAAACCAACTTGTGCAGATCGAGCTTGGTAGCTTGACACTAAATAAAATTTAGGGACGGCGGGGGCTGCGCTTTGGGCAAATCAGTTGTCGTTGATGTCCTGCAGCAGCAAGAGATGCCGATGCCTCGACGAGCAGCACCTGAAACGTCCAAACATACTGATAATTACACCACATGGGAGGGAAACACGAATCACGAACTTCAGGGCCATGTCGGTTCTGAAAATCACGATTCGACTTTCATGACAGGCTGACAGCTGGCGAGGGATGTTGATGTTCAATACTAGTATTGTTCAAATGAACGGGGTTCAAATTCTCGGCCGGAAAATCCTTCGGCAGGGCTCAATCCCCTTGACAGGCCGACTGTGACAACATCTTATATTTACAGCAAACATTACTTGAAAGTCTCATCAGAGTTGCTGTTGTTGAGGAAACCAATTCTGGTTTCCCATTATGGGCAGCTTCAATGAAAAAATGGGTCTTCATGATGGTTGGGTGTTTGGATATAGAAAATGATATTCTAAGTAATACACAAGAACAAGTCCTGGCGATTTGACCGCCGCATATTGAAATTCCTTGGGTCTGAGAAAGGATTACCCGTTGATACGAGTGGCCGCCTCATATCCTAGAAAGGGGAGAGAAAAAAACCATCAAAGATATGATATGAGTTTAGGATATTGGCGGCAGCTTATTTATCAGCTAGTTACAGCATAGAAAGATGGAGTGAAACTAATTCTATGTACTGTACATTCAATGAGAAGACTTACACTGATTTCAAGGAATGCATATGCATACAAATCTATAATCAGCAGGTCCCTAAGCCTCGGGGAAGGGCACTTTTGCCAATTCCACACGACACACATTTTGCACATCAACACCTTGATAATAGAGGGAATTAATTTCTCATATATTGCAGGGTCTATATAACAACACATCCTTCATTCTTCATGAGGGCAGTCTGTCATATCTTCATGGATGGCAAGGCCCACCATCACCCTATTTCTTTCCCGAGATGCAGATTAGCCATGTCAAGGCTACCCTTTTCATGTTGAAAAGCGAGAGTCATGGGTCAGCCATGCCTATTATGCGCCAGGTTTACTTTTTAACTACACATTCATCTTATTCTCGCCCATTTCCTATCTACACTTGCTTCGTTATATCTATTGAGCAACAGAAGATTCTGAGGCCAAGAGGCACAGTAGAAGGCAATTTGCTGGCGCACGGCTTACTTGCTTATTTAAAAAGAGCAGTAATCTGTATCAAGAGAGCAATTGAACTAGCATTGGTATATTTCACTTATCCATCCGGTTTTCCCTCCTTCGTGGTCTCTTCAACCACTTCAAGATAAAACTCTCTACCAGGTTTCTATACATTGGGATCGATTCCATGGGATATAAAGACACGTCAACTCGGGCGATATGCGGCCACAAGCAACTTGATAAAATAGACTCCCAGTCCAAGCGGGTACCGCAAATCAAATATGCGGAGTGCATAACTCACCTCTATGGGAGGGACGGTTTCCAATTTTAACCCACCAACCCGAGACCTAGCTGACTTCAGAGTTTAAGTATTGGAAGACTTCATCGAGGAGCCTAAGAGTATGATAAAGGCCCCTTAAACAATGGAACGATCATGCAAAAGATCACAGAATGGGCGGACAAGAACTCGGGTCAGGCCAATTGTTCGGAGTTTCCCCAATTCTTGGCAGCAATGGGCTGTACGCTCATACCAACCTGACCACTCGCCACCATTGCGCGGAAACGCCATCTGAACCATTTCGCAGTGATATCTTTTTTGGTGGTTGGTGGTTTGTTTAGAGGGTTTAATCTGGCCTCAGCCACCAACTTAGTCCATTGCTGATCTGCCGTTTTGCTGTGCAAGGCTTCAAACACACAGCAGCAAAAATAATAAATTCACGAATTGCGATCATCAACTGGTTGGTTCTCGCGTTGTCTAAAACCCTCAAGGAAGTTTCTGACGACCATAGCGTCCAAGGGTGGCATGCGGGAAACTAACCCCATGTACCTAGGCGGGCTATCCTAGCATCTGATCAGCCTTGTGAGATCCCAAGGAGACGGCTCATTGGAGGCTCGAGCAAACCCATATGGATGTGAAAGGCATTTTGGAGGAATCGGGTGCTCCATATTGCGAATACAGAACAGGATGGCTCATGGGCGCGATAATTTTGAGAGAAGGAAAACATGAGAAATCATCAAGTTTCTGACTTGAACGGAAATGCCGTAAACTGCCCCTGCTCCCGTGTTGCAAACCAATCTGGGAAACTTGGCCTGAGCCTTGCTTCAATCCCCAGTCATACAAGGGCTCCCTGTGGTGGCTGTGACTCGTGGCGAAAAGCCGCATCCTAGAAATGGGAACACAAATTGCTCGCATGCCATCAGTTTAGCCATGCCCTCGAGATAAGGTGGGACGAAACTCAGAGAAGTTTAAAAGCGGGCCGCCTCTCTTGTTTATAAGCCTAATTTGTTAAACGATAAATTTGTCCGAGGCTTGGATTTCCATTGTCGGAAACTGGGAAAGTAAAAGAAAAGTTGAACGGACTTAAGGGGTATATTTTTAAAAAATAAAATGTGATTTACCTGGATCTTTCAGACACTGATAAATAAATATTGAAGCCGCACTTCCAAATATCAAATTAACTTCCGATCAGGTTTGGCAGTATTTTGTTGACGTCCAATTATTATCAGAACATGTAGCTGACAAGCTTGGGTTTTTGTTCCTACCAACGTGGGCAGCTACATGTTTCCTATTAGCTATTTCTACCATATCCGGTGTACTTTCCTTCATGATATATATTTGTTGAGCCATACTCCTATATAGACGTCGTGCTTATGCGTGTAAGGAACGACAGGGGAACTTTTGCAGTCAACATTTTCCTAGCATTTTGGACAAGATGGCGGAGACTGTTGACGACAGGCTTTGATTTGACAACCCTGAGGCTTGCAATAAATTTGCTAGAGATTTCTGTGTCAACCAGTTTAGTTATTTATAGACGAGATCTTTGGTTCTGTCTGGTCAGATTGTGACAGCCCTTTTTTGTGGCTGATAAGTGGCTAGATTACTTTGTTATTGATGAAGAACCGTGGACGCTCGTCGCAGCGAAGGCCCTTGCAAAATGGTAAGCGATCATAAACCCTAATCTCAGGCATAAACATTACCCCGGTTGGCGATGTCTACCAGGGATCACTAGCCGCGAAGGTTTCGATGCTATGTAGATGCGATTGACAGAAAATTTCTGCAAATGCTTCCAAGCTGTACATACCACAGTTGACGACCCCTATTCGAGGGTTCTGGAAGCTCATGCCAGCACTTATGAGCAGCTGTGGTACATAGGTTGAGTTTAGTGTGGGCAGTGGAAAACGCCAATAACTCATAACTACCCGCTCCACATTATCCCCGAGCGGTACTCTGCACTAGTGGGTTGGTTACTGTCGAGAGGGGTTTGAGTTGCCAGAGCAGGCAGCTATGATTCTTTATGACACGCACTCACTCCTTGAGATCAGTGTTGTGAAACCAGCAAGTTGATTGAAGCTGTTTGGTAGGTACTTTGGTTTCCAGTTCTCTGGGAGGTGTGGAGGAGAGCTAGTTGTATAAATGTTTAAGATTCAGATTGCCTACCTCGAGAAATCAACCAGCTGTCCGCCCTAAATAAACATTCCAACTTCAGTCGCAAGCTCTGTGCCACTCAGCCTCATTCTGCAAGACAAAGACACAATAACCCCCAGGCATCGCTTCCAGCTCTCCCTCCCCTTCTCTCACACTTCTCGCCCCTGAAGGATGAGTGGCTAATTGATCTTTGGCATTGTTATTCCTGTTTCATGTCTCCTTTCGCTTTTTACCCTTTCCTGGTTTTTCATTATTATCTAGCTCTCTGCCTCATATTTACCCAAGCGGAAAACGCACGCAGAGGAAACCCATCATTCACATTCAATCATTGACTTGAACGGCTGCTTAAACATCTAACCAACTATAGAACTACCATTTATATAAACACCGCCATTGTTTTGCCAGCAAGACATACCGAAGTGAGGGAATTCAGGCTAGGTGAGGAAAACGGTGGACGTACCACTGGCTTGACGGAGTTGAGAAGGAAGGCTGCACGAACGTTTTTATATACCATACCACAACTGGTCCTTCATTATGTTTGGGTCACTTCAGTTCCCTAGAGTGAAGATGCTTCTTCATGCCCTGCAGGGCTTTGTCATATTTCTGGGCTGGGCTCTTACAATCGCCGTGCTCACACAAGATGGTCCAACAGATGGTCGAACGGCATACTGTTTTGCGCTGGTATGTTTGATGTTTTCTCGCTACCCACAGAGGAAAACTAAGAGTTACAAGTACCTACATAAGTTGCTTTTTCTCCAAAGAAACCAAATTGCTAACTCTCTCTGACTTTTGTAGTGTTGGCTCACTGTTCCCGCCCTCATCTACCTGGCCGCAGTGCCTTTATGGCCACGAACCCAAAGATTTGGTAATGCGTACGCTTTCGCAGTGATTGACGTGCTCTTCGGTATCCTCTGGTTTGCCTCATGGGTGGCTGTTGCATCATATGTGGCGGCAGGCAAAGTTGCTGACAAGGATGATGACAATGATAAAGATGAGAAGGGTAAGAGCGGCTGCGGAGCGTTCAAATTCGGTACCCCTGCAAAATGCAATATAAGCACAGACGCTGCTGCACAACGAGGCGGACGATTTGGGAGGGATGCCGCATGAAACCCCTGCACCACCGTCCATGTACGATGCCACGAGAGGCAATGATAACAGTAATGCTCTAAATAACACACCGTTGACAAACGCCGGCGATGCTAATGCTAGCTATTTACATGATAATGACACTAGCTATGGTGGCGCGTATGCGGCCGGGAGCCGATCGCAGGCATCAGCGAGTTTCCATGATCAGTATACGAACCGATAAGAGTGCGCAGCTAATGGTTTGGTTAATTTTGATATGAATACCACAGAGAGCGATTTTCTTCTTTGGGGTTCTTCGGTTTTTATTTTATTTCTATTCTTGAGCTGCCGGTGTTTTTTGCTTTTCGGCTTTTCGGCACACTCATTTATTATATATATCATTATGCGGACACCTCCCAAGTCTACAAGAGGTGGAATGTCGGGTTTCTCATGTATGGGTTAACGGATGCCATTTGAAGCACACATTGTTATGTAATCAATAGGCTTTAGTTAACTAAGTGATGTTTTACTTTTTGCTTTCGGAGGACGGTCCGATTATTTGCGGAGCATTTTGCTATATCCGTTCCATGTACCTGGATTGTTTAGGTATTAGGGCAATAGCAATAATGAGGATTGTATAAACGAATGCCAGAGTATATTTCTGTTTTCTTCCCCCCGAAATGCCATGGATAGAATCAAAATCATGGGGCAGCCTAGCCAGGCCTCCTCTGTTCGCCTTGATATGTATTCGTAGATACTCTTGTGTGAGTTTGCTGGGCCCAGCTCAATCATTTCCTTCCTAGAACCCTTGAGCCTCCTTATTTTTCTCACACCTTGTGGAGGACAACGCCAAATAGATCAAGAGCCCCATCCCATAAAATAAAAACACAACATCTAACATCACATCACGGAAATAGAAAGCAGCATACGTACAATAAGCCCATCACTATTTCGCATCGGCCCCTTCCCCTCCTCCCTTCCTTGCAAGAATCAAACAAATTTATTGAAACAGTCTACTTCCATAGCCAAATACTACACAGGCTACCACCGATAACAATTCATATCCCAGTCCCCTAAGTACCAATCGCCCAGAAACCTCCCCATGTCCATTTCATGCATCACGCACTCTCCCAACCCCTCTCTCCACCAACATCATCACCAGCATCGTCATCCTCCCAACCACTCTCTCCAACCCCAGCAGCCCCGTGCCCATTCACATCACCACCAAAATCACCAATCATCCTCGCCTTGCCTTTCCCCTGTCCGCTCACTTCAATCTGCTCCAGCCCAAAGTCCAACCCCATCAACTCCCTCGCTCCTCCGTCCTCCAGCCCCGGCCCCGACCCCGACCCCATCCCGAACCCCCCAAACAACTGCTCCCACAACCCCTCCGTAAAGACTCTCGTCGTCCGATCAACACCCGCGTGGCAGTACGGATCATAGAAGTCGCATTCGTTGTCGCTCTCTGTAGGTTCCCGCTGCTGATCCCTGGCGGACTGTCTGCGAGGGAAAAGGTCATTGAGGCGGGGGAGGAGGATGTTATCTCTGTCCTTGCTACTGATGTGATAAGCTGTGGATTGATATTCGCGCTGGCTAGGCTTCTCGCGCTGGTAGTTGCCGAATTTATCGACGGTGACTGCATGACGGCGGGTGGAGCGGGTGAAGTTGGATCGGGCTGGAGCGGGCCGGGGGATCATTGAGAATTTGGGATTTGGGAATAGATTCACGGTGCTGTTGGGGAGGTATCTGGATCTGGGGAGCGGTGTTGGCGTTTGGGGGGTTGGAGATAACGACCCGGAAGAGGACGTGGATGGGGGAGGGGAAGGCGTTGGACGATTGTCGGTATTGTGGATGCGGTTGTAGGGAAATTTTAAGAGCGTGTAAGTGTCAGAAGCCCCATCAGTGACAAATGGGTGTTTTGGGATGGGGCCATATAGTCCATGGCTCGAATTGATGGATTCTTCTGTACTTGTCTGAGTCGGGGTGGATTGACACGATATTGACGATATTGTTTTTGCCTTCTTCCGTGGGGGAGGTGTAGAAACTTGGTAGAGCGCGGGTGATGTCGCTGTCGATGGTGATGGGGGTGCAGACTTGCTGCTGTCTCTGTCATGACTAATGTCCTTTTCTTCGACAGATTCCGACGAGCTTCTTGCACGTTTACGGCCCGTCGCATTAGATCCGTTTTCCGCGGCCTCCTTAGTACCCAACGTAAAAACTGCTGTGACTGCTGTCCCAGGCAAAAACGACTGATTCTCTGGGTCTGCCGTTTGCACCACATTCTTCAGCTGCTGTTGGAGACTTTTATATTCCCCAACCTGCTCTCCAGGCCTGTCTTCAGCCGTGTCATTCTTCCTTGCATTCTGAAAAGCCTGGTAAGCATTAAACCCTGCATTCCTCTCCTTCCAATAAGCTTCCGCATTCCCCGGCGCCGCAATAAGAATCTGCTCGAATTCCATAGGCAGGCCTTTCCCTTCGCTTTCTCTCTGAAGCTCAGACACCATTTCTTGATATTGCTGGTTCCACTTGTTGACCAGAGTATTGGGAGATCCCCATGTTTCTGGCAGAGCAGTCTGAGTATGCTCTGCCTCCCCTACCTCGTTGGCGTTTCCACAACTGACCTGGCCCTCAATTCTCTTCATCAGCGGATCAAGCACAACGGCAATCAAGGCTCGATTCACCTTATCCACACTGCATTTGTGCTTGCGCGCCAATTCGCCATACGGGAAAATATGTGCAATGGCATCTGCCATGTCCATAAAGAATTCTTTTGTCCACGGTGAAGGCGAAGAAACATGTTCAGCTTTGAGTTCTTGTCCAGTAGATGTAGTCGATTCTGCCAGGGCGCCATTTGGATGTGGAGAAGTTGCCTCATTCTTTGCGCCAGAATTGTCCGAAAGGGAGTTTGTTGGTGATGACAACGGAAGACCAAAATAAGGACTCCGCTCCATGGGAATGGCAGGTTGAAGCCATTCTGACGTGCTGGGAGAGGTTGGATGAGCGACTCTGTGAGTTCTGCCAACTGTTGTCACTTGCTGGCTATCTTCGCCATTCCCTATGGAAGAATTGCGTAATGTTTAGTATGATTAGGCAGCGTAAAACGAAGGAGATGGGAGATAGGTTTCCATTACCTGTTTGCTGGCTGTTGGTTGGGCTATAGACTCTACGGGAGCATTCGGGGCCTGAATCGATTCTGTTCTGAGCACAAATAGCAGTACCAGTGATCTGGAGCTCGTCTTCATCATCAGAGTCAAGAATGATAAGGGGGATTTCTTTGCTCATGATCATTGCTTGTTAATTTGCAACGTTCAATAAGGTTAAAGGGCAGCCAGAAAGTTAAGTGGAAGAAAATTACAATATCAACATAGAGGAAAGACTCCAAATGAACAATTGTGGCAATCAGGAGATGGGGGGGATGGAAGATCAGAGTAGAGCAGAAAGGATTGATCGGTGAATGGAATACATTCATCCTAACAAAGGGTGAAAGAGTTTGAGTGGATGAATATTCAGATATAAGAATAAACACATCCACACATCATTTTGACATATAACACAGTCATTTTGTTGATCATGTAACTACTTCACTATCATCCAATGTTGAAATGCAGTGAGATAAGGCTGATTTACAACCCTCCCCCTAACAATTTCATTGGAAAAATACCACTCAAGCATTTAGATAGTTTTGGATCTTTTGTACCGATTTATGCAAGTTACCTTCACTCACCCCGCATATGGTGACAGCAGAGTGGTTTCGGCAACGTTGTCCCAGAAGAAAGGTGAAAGAAAGGAAAAAGAAGGACATCAATCAGCATTGTCCGCAACAGGCACTCATTGAAATGAGATAGATACACTGGATGTGGCAAGGAAATCCGCATAGCAGCTGGTCAGTTCTTCGGAGGCACTTTGAGTGGATTATAGAAACAATCCACCTTGATGGACTTGAGTTCGCAAAGTCGCATTTCATAGCTGAGAGCACTTGTAGAAGTCGAAAGTGTGAGACCTGCAGGTCTTGGCTTATTAATCCTTCCACCATATAACTTCCCACTTAGCTAGCAATCTTCAATCAAGCAAGCTTTACACCTTCCACAGAAAGCAGTATATTGTATCCAGACGGAGAATATGAGATGGGGGTAAGCTGAGGCTCAGATGCTGGAGATTTTAGATGCTATTTCGACCAGTGCAGTACAAGAGGAGACGTCCTCAGGAGATTGCCCAATAAAGTACCCCAGAACCCGAGAAGTGATGTGATGCAAAGACTACAGGTTGGCCATTTAATTGAATTTGGAGCGGAAATATGGAGGTGGAACTCCGACTGATGCTTGTAACTGGGTCGGGCTGTGGTTTTCGCTGTGGCTTTCTTTCACCTTTGTTGATGCCCTGGCAGCTTCTTGGGCTGATGTGGAGGGTGCCGATAAATGAACATTATGAGCTTACCTTGCACATCTTGGTAGTGACTGACAGAGTGAGTGTCACACAGTATTGAGTAAGGAATCACATACAGGATACAATTACATGCGCTCCCTCGGATCGGACCAGCACCCAGAGAGCGCAGGAATGAGGAACATTGGAACGGAAAGCATTCGGAGATAGGATGAGATCTGTGGGTTGGGTGGGAATACGATATCCGGTATTACCATTTGAGCAGGTGCAGAATGGCCTTGGCAGGGGCTTTCTTCACTAGAATTCAACCGCAATTATTACCAGAGAGGAGCAAAATACCGTACGGAACCGTCCCTCAGGAAGAGCCGACAAGCCTGACGTTCTAAACTGTGGTTGAGGTAAGCTGTTGCCGGGCCGCGCCTTGCCTGATTGGGGAGATTTCTCCTTTTTGGGCGGCCGTGGGTCTTGGCTCGATCCTGACGCTTTTTCCCCTTCTCCTTCTGCGCCTTTCTTCGCTTCTCTTCCTCTCTTTCATCACGTCGACAACCATCACCATACGATCACGCTCCAACTCCCCCCATCTTCAACGTCTTCTCCAGTATCTAGGGCACTAAGCTACCCTTCTACCCCCTCACCTCAAGTCCCCAAAGGCAGCTCAGCGTCCTGAGTTCAATCTCGCAGCGGTACATACAACCCCCTTTTCAATCCACTATCCCGTGTTCCGTTACCCAAATACACTCAGCCCTCCAACATCATGTCGACTGCCAACGAACTGGCCGAAAATATGGCCTCTGTCTCCATCAACGACTCTACCAATGGCGCAACTCCTGTAGGTGCTATTCAGACCGATGCCACTGCAGCCAGTGCCGATGAGGGACGTCGCCTGTACATTGGGAATCTCGCATATGCGACCACTGAGGGGGAACTCAAGGACTTCTTCAAGGCTTACACCATGTTAGTACTTTCCTTTTATTGTTATTATTACCTGATTTGCATTTGTTTTTGTTTCCTAAGATAGGAACCAAAAGAGGAAAGCCTTAGCATGCTCCAACTTCAACAAGAAAAGGAAAACCCCATTTTTTTTTGTTTTGTTTTGTTTTGTTGGGGGTTGGTCAATTGGCATAAATGCAGAATGCACTTATATATAAAACCCTGAGAGCAAAGATATCTTGCTTCATGCAATCGATGGCGATGCTATTTTATGTCACTAACATATTCTGCGATTGTTATAGTGAAAACACCTCCATCCCCGTGAACCCCCGCACTACCCGTCCTGTTGGATATGCCTTCGTCGACCTTGCTACTGCGCAAGAGGCCCAGGCTGCCATTGCTGAGCTCTCTGGCAAGGAAATCCTCGAGCGCAAGGTTTCCGTCCAACTTGCCCGCAAGCCCGAACCCGCTGAGAATAATGGCGAGGCTGTTAGCGGTGGTGAGGGTGCAAGTGGAGGTGAGGGCCGCAAGAGAGGCTATGGTCGCGGTCGCGGACGTGGACGTGGCCGCGGTGGCCGATTCGGGGCTCGCGGTGGCCGCGCGGTACGTAACCTTGTGATCGATGTTCTTTATAGACTCCACAGCGACATTTCAATTAACACCAGCACGTCACTGACCGCATTTCTATATGTTAAAACTAACGTGAAACCTTTGCAGGCAAAGGAGCCGAATGGAGAGCACGCTGAAGGGACCACCGAGGGAACACCCTTGGCCGATGTGACTAATGAGCCTGGTGATGCCCCCAAAGACGCTAAGAGTCGTCCTCGTGTTCAAAAGCAACGTGGCCCGCCAGAAGATGGGATCCCGTCCAAGACAAAGGTTATGGTTGCTAACCTTCCTTACGATCTTAGCGAGGAGAAGGTACACCCCACATCCCCAGTAAATCCGTCAATAGGCCGGTGAGATATTAACCATTGTCACTATACAGTTGAAGGAACTTTTTGCTGCTTACGAACCCGTCTCCGCCAAAATTGCACTTCGACCCATTCCGCGTTTTATGGTCAAGAAACTCCAAGCTCGTGGTGAGCCCCGCAAGGGCCGTGGATTCGGTTTTGTCACTCTAGGCTCTGAGGCTCTCCAGACCAAAGCTGTTGAGGAGATGCACGGCAGGGAAATCGAAGGGCGGGAGATCGCAGTCAAAATTGCCATCGACAGCCCCGGCAAGGAGGATGACATCTCTGGTGAAGAGCAGGCTACCGCCGAAGCCCCTGCTGATGCACCTGTTACCGCTTAAAATCAGTATTGCCCAGCCCGACGACTAATGAATAGGGGGGTTTGAGAAGGGTTCTACAACAAGGAATATGACAATTAAGGCTTTTTGATAAGTATTCTATTAACGGGCTGTATGAAATTGCTTAAATAGTGAAATATTGTTTTTACTTTTGCCGTTACTCTCTAAAGCCTTTTCAGATTCCTCCCCTGGTTTCATTATAGGGTGGTTCGAACTTTGGGATGGATGTCAATGAGGGAAACATCCATTTCAAAAATTAAAACCGAAAGAGATGACCAAAAATATGTGAAAAAAGGAAAAAATTCAATCACAACAATTGACAAGGAGGAAAAAGCACATTGCAGCATTTCCCAAACTTGG